AGAGAGACAGAGAGACAGAGAGAAAGAAATAGTGACTCAGAAGGAGATGATGGGTCTTGGTTACAATGTGGAGTACTGGATATAGTGGCCAGATTCTGAAAGTTTGGGAAATATGGAAAAATGTAATTGCAAAAACTGATCTGTAAATTTTAACATAAATAAGAAGTCAGAAAAGATGTGAGCATGATGAGAAGGAATAAGTTCCTATGAGTCAAAGATGAAGAGTTTAAAGTAGTTTTAGAACTGAGCCCTTAAATAAGCAAGATAAAACACAATAAAAGTTCAGAGAGTTTAAGGAAATATGTTAGAAAAATAAATAATAAAGATCACCAAGAATTATGACTGGATTATTAGAAAATTTATATTGCCTGGGGAGCCACCATGCTGACCGCATAAGAGGAACTGCCCCAGGGCTTGGTGGATGGCCACTGCTCAGTAGAATCTAGTGACTTGTGCGGTGTTACGTTCTCAGGTGCTGAGGTCGGAATTCATTCTAGTTACTTTAAGAAATAAATCCTTTTTAGTGGATAATAAAAAGTATTACAAAGATTTCACAAACTCCAGAAGGTGGTATTGTCAAGACTCAATTCCAGCACCCTACTGCAAAGCTATTACAGGGTCTGTTTCTCCTTATTTGCATAAAACCAGAATTTCTCTCCCATTTCTATGAAGCAGAATGTATACTTCACCCAACATATATCACAATAATAGTTGCATCCTGCAAGCCTGTAGTTAATATAAATAATAAGCCATAAAAAGCTGAAAAGTTTAATTTGTGTTTTTTGCATTGGGTAGGCAGGTAGAATTGTTAATATGAGAGCTTTCCAAATGAAAAACATGTGACTAAAAGTTTTAAGAAGCATTTCATAACAAATGTCCTTTATAGCCTCATATCTAATGGTGATTTATTTTCCTGGAGTTAAAGAGACATTATAACATGCAGTATTTGATGTTCAAATATTTACTGAACTACTGTGTTATCTGACACATCTATGTTTACAGTTGGGGAAATAATTTTCATATATATATGATTGTGTTTTGTTACCGTGTATCATCTAGCTGAAACATGTATACACATAACAATGTTAATTAGTCTATGGCCTTATTAAATAATGATAATTAACCATAGCTGCAGGTTTACTTTTTTTTTTTTTTTGCAGGTTTACTTTTAAAATAGAGCAGAGGATACACAATTTTTTTTTTTTAGAACCAGGGATTGAACTCAGACTCAGGCCCTTGTGCTTGCCAGGCAAGCGCTTATTCCACTGAGCCATCTCCCCAGCCCCTTACACAAGATAATTGATTTCATTTATTCACTTGAAAAATATTTAGCACATACACAACAAATTTGTATAGCTACCCAGAACCAAGTTGATACCCAGTACAGAGAGAGTCAAAAGATAGAGATAGACATTGATTACTCTCACTGGTCTTATTTTCCTATGAAAAATAGAATGAAATGTAACAAAACTTTTGAAAATTATATGCAATGATATATTATGAAGAAAAAATAAAAGCCTGAAAGA